TTTAGTAATTGAAATTTAGTAATTAATTTAATACTTTAGAAATTGAGTAATTAATTTAGTAATTGAAATTGAATGCATTTCTTATTTATGTTGAGTTGTTGAATTCAAATAACTATTACTTCTTGGCACTTTAGCTACATGCTGTGGTAGCCACATTAAGACAAAGAATAGATTAGCACTGTTATTAATTATTAAGAGATTTAACATTCTCTTTTCCTGAATTAAATATTTCCTAATGAATCTCATTAGCTTTGCATTTATTCAACTGATCACCCAATTCATAATTTCACCCAAGTTCATTGTTCTTATAAAATAAAGATTTTTGTTTGAAAATTTCTATTGGTATTCAGAAGTCCTACCAGGATTCATTATTGGCAGCCACAATCTTAACAACATAAGATATGCAGATAAGACAGTATTGATAGCAGGCACAGAAAGAAAACAACAAAAACTCCTACAGAAGGTGGTGAAGGAAAGCAAAAAGAAAGAAAGGATTAAACATCAACTGGTAGAGGACAAAATGCATGCATGTTAGCAAAAGGGACAAATTGCAAATTGGAGATACCAAAATCAAACAAGTACAAAAATTTAAATATCTGGGAAGTGTTTTAACAGAGGATGCAAAGTGTGACACTGAAATTTGAAGACATATTGGGATAGCCAAAGGTGCATTCCAAAAGCTAAGCAGAGTATAAAGAAATAGAAAAACTTCACTAGAAACAAGGAAAAGAGTATTAAGCTGTTATGTGATATGTTCTGTATGACAGTGTGTGGTGGACAATATTCTTGAGGATGAAGAAAAGACTTGAAGCAACAAATGTGGTTCTACAGAAGAATGCTGAGGATACCATGCATTGAATATATGTGTCTAATATTAGATAAAACTATGTGGAAAAAGGAAAATCTTTACTTTTGTTTAGGTTTGTTGTGGCTAGTGCAAATATTATGAGGATTTGTTCTTGGTTTTGTTATTTTTACCTGTAATTATATCATCCATCTGCAACATGTTAAATTAATATTCATGCATAATATTACATGAAAACATGAAATAGAATATGAAGTTTTTGGTGTACATGCAACAAGATATTACATATTTATTAAATGATTGATTTTTGGATTAAACATACACTTGCTTATATAATTGATTCATATTATCTATAGAACACACACACGCATACATATATTTAGAAAAATATATTTGTTGATATATAACATTATACAAAATTATATATCATACTTATTATAAAACCCAGGTTGTGTGTGTGTCTGTGCGTTTATATATTGGATCGGATTTCCTACATTTTTCAACCGATTTCAACAAAACTTCACAGGACTACGTAAAATTACCTTGCGGTGGTTCTGACAGCGCCAAAAATTGGAAAAACACAATTGTTTTTGCATGAAATCAATTTGAAAACACGATTAAGAGGCATCGCTTTGGTGGAATGAAAGGGGGACAACTCATATCGAGTTATACTTATACCCAGGTTGTGTGTGTGTGTGTTCGTTTATATATGAGATCGGATTTCCTACATTTTTCAACCGATTTCAACAAAACTTCTCTTTTTTTTGGCAGGTAGTATTTCTTATTGTCTTGCACACTTTTTTTCTTTATTTTTACATTCAGAATGCTTTAAAAATTCCATTTACAAGACAATTGTTTATAATAAAATTCTACTCAATCGATAGACTCATAACAATTGAAAACAATGTTTTTGTTTGATTTTGGGTTTGACCAATTCGTAAAAAAAAAAAAAAACTAATTAAGACATGCGTGTCCGTCAACCTTAAACAATAATCTTTGTCAATTTTATTTTTCAGTCTTTAAGATGGTCGATACTTGATCTATCTCTTACTGTTACATCCCCGGGCAACGCCGGGCTCTACTGCTAGTCATTATACACACACACACTATGTATGTATGTATGTATATATATATATATATATATATATATATATATATATATATATATAGAGAGAGAGAGAGAGAGATTTGTATGCATTAATGAAAAAAAAAAGAAATAGTTTTAGGCTTTTCTGTATGAAGAGACATCTTTCTTGTGAACTCATTTAAGAAAACAAGTCTTTCTGGTCCAACAGTTGGTGATCAGAGAAAGAGAGATTTTGTATTTTTACACCAAAACTGTCTTTCTAGTGCATTATGGGAATTCTAATTCCCTTCATTTTACTATAATCTAACAAGACGGGAAACAAATACTGTTTCTTATTTATGAATCATGACAGGTTCAAAGCTTGTAAAAAGAAAATTAAAAACATTTTTTAGGTATTGTCAATTCAACATTCTATCAAGAGATTCCCATGTGTTTAAGCCGTTTAAATTTCTTTTCTGTGTATTCATCTGCAAATTCTTCTTTTTCCTGTCCCTTCATGAAACTGGCAATCACGGCTCTCCAAAATTTCCTGTCCTTTGTAGCTCATAATAACTTTTGCCTTTTTGTCATCTCTCCCAAACCCTGCTCTGCCATCGATTCACTCAAACTCACAAAGTAGGTTGTGCATTGCTTTCCTCTGGTCCTCTTACCTTCAATCTCTGCGAGTATCAAATTTTCCAGGCCCACTTTCCTCATTATGTGCCCCAGAAACTTCAACTGTCAAAAAAACTTAATATTACAATACATAAACAAATAATTTCTATTTCTCACTCTTTCTCACTTAATATTCATATTCTACGTGCCATGTCCTTTCAGGACTTTGGTGATCATGGTTCTTCACAGTTTCCTGTTCTTTGTAGTTCTTAATAAATTTAATCTTTTTCTTATCTCTCCTAAACTTTGTTCTGTCATCCATTTACTCAAGTTTGCTAGGTAGATTGTTTTCCTCTTTCCCTCAATCTGGCCTCTGAGTATCAAATTTCCCAAGCCCTCTTTTCTCGTTATGTGCCCTAGAAATTTCAACTGTCTCTTCCTAATGTTAAGCATAAGTGTCCTTTTTGTTGCCATTGTCTCTAGAACTTTGTCACTGATCACATTCAGTCCATGAAATTCTCAGCATCCTTCTGCAGAAACACATTTCTGTTGGTTAACGTCTCTTCTTCATCGATGTGGAGATTGTCCAACATTCACGGAATGACAGATACTACATAGTAGTTCACTGCTCTTTTCTTTGTTTCTAATGATATTTTTCTGTTTCTTAAGTTGGTTATCTGTCCATATATGTGTATGTAAATATTACATAAAATTTTGATATCAGATGAATATGGTTTTATCATTTACGTCTACCAACTAGCGTTTTATATCTTACCCAACTCAGTGATTCTTAGTGACCGTGACTAATTGGCATATCCAGTCTTAATTTTTTCTTGTTAAATTACCTCTGATTTGTTATTCATTTGCATTCTTATTTTTTGTGATCTTTATGTGTTTGTTTCTTTATGGCTTTTATAACTGCATAATTATTTAAATAAAGCAATTTTCTGTCCTGAAAGTAATAACCACCTTAGTATTTCACTCACAGCGTAGGAGTAAAATGAAATAGGTAAAGTATAAAGTGACATAAGTAATGTTGAAATCTTTTTATATATATATATATATATATATATATATATATATATATATATATATATATATATATATATATTGAAATATGTTTTAAAGATGTAATGATATTTTTTAGAAAAGCCACAAAAGCACAATGGATTACAAGGTGCAGAGGAATTAGGAACAGGAACATTAATAATGAACAGAAAGAGAAAAGAGTAATCAGGAGGACAATAGATAGTGATTGACATTGCATTTAAATTTTTGCAGATTAAAGTTGGCTGGAGAGCATGGAGTCGGAAGAGAGTTCCACAAGCAAGAAAAGAAACTGTTAGCATAGAATTTACAGATACATCTATCCAACTCAACCAAAATTGATGGAATCTTGATGCCAATCTTGTACTGCGCTTAAATTCTAAAAGTTTAGGTACCATAGTGAGAGAGCTCATCTGAATAATTACCATGAAAGTATTTATAGAAAAGGCACAGAGAGGCAACTTTACAGTGATAGGAAAATGACTGAAGCTGAGCCACCAGATCAGAACCAATAATATTACTAATTCTTCTTTGGATTTTATCAAGGAGCTCAAGGTTAATAACAGGAGCACTGGATCATATGTGGCATCAATATTCTAAGCATGGGTGAATGGTAGACATAGATATGTAAAATATATTCTGGAGAGACAAATTGTTTTGCATGAAACAGTGAACTGATTTTTTAGCAGCTGACCTCACAATTGATTCAATATAGTCTTTCTACTTCATGTCAGCTGAGAACGTTAGCTCAAGAAGGTGCAATGAGTCACTTTCCTGGAGGTTAGCATCAGCCATGCAGATGGCGAGATCAGAAAAGGCATAGCAATGGGATAACACATTATAATTAGTCTCATTGGTCACCTTGTCAAAAGTTCATCATATTAACAATAGCTTTACCAACTTTTTGTGTTAGTAGAAATTTTCACATTGACTACCAGAGGTCAATTACAAAAATTTGGTTTCAAATACCAAATTTATAATAGCCAACTTAGCAAATTTATTTTTTTTAAAGGCTTCATTTTTTTTTCTCATAAAAATTTAATTAATTGATTCATTTATTTTTCTATGGCTTATCAACACTTAGCAGGTTATTTAAAGGCAGTAAATATTTTTAGATTGTGAGATTTTCTTCTTTTTTTTTTTTTTTTTTGCAGATAATAATGATTTAGTAATAGAAGTTTTACTAATTAACCCACAGGTGGGAGTGAAGAAGTAGATTCATACCTAATCAGAATTTGATAAACAAGAAATTATAATGTGTATATAAAGTGGGGGATCAATTCTATATTACAATAAATATATAACCTGATCCCTCTCTTTGGGGTTATGGTAGTTTCTATACATTTATATATATATTTATTATTTGGGGAGAGAAAGGTATTTGCATGTAAATAAATATAATGAACATGACTGGAATTGAAATTCCAATTTCATGCCATTATCCATTACACCACCTGCACATCCAAGCTTACAGCACTTGGTATTTCCTAGCGGTCACTTATCTAGGTACTGACCAGGCTCAACATTGCTTAACTTTGGTGGTCATATGGGAACTGGTGTTTCAAAATGATGTGACCATAAGCCCCCATAAAATGTTTCTTTTTATCTGCCGGTATGATTTGATTTTTCTACTTAGGAGCAATCTTGTCAAAAGATGGTACCTGCAACTCAGAAATCCGCACACAGATTGCCGCAGCAATGACCAAATTGGCAAGAATACGGAGGATCAAAATCAGCTTTCAAACAAAGTACGGACTGTACATATCACTGGTAGTCTCCATTCTCCTGTATGGATGTGAAATGTGGACACTGTTGACAGAAACAGAGAGAAGGATGCAAGCGTTTGAGAATGAATGCATGAGAAAACTCCTTGGCATCTTCTATTGGGAACATAAAGACCAATGAATTTGTGCAGAAAAGTGTTGAAAGTTTTGTGAGCTGCCAGGAACCTCTTCTTGCCTCTGTCAAATGGAGAAAAATGGTGTGTTTTAGGCACATTACAAGGCATGACAGCATGTGCAAGACCATCATGCAAGTCACCATTGAAAGTGGACGTAGGAGAGGACGCCAGCATAAAAACTGGTTGGACAATGTTAAACAATGGACAGGTATGACTATACCAAAATTGCTGATGGCTGCTCTTGATAGGCTGTTGTAGAGGAGATTTAGTGTGGCTTCTGTATTCAGATCCCCACTACAATTACAAAAGTCTAGGGGATGATGATGATGATTTTTCATTCCTACCTTAGATGCCAGGTGTCAGTTATTTGTGTTAATAACAATAGAAAAACAATTGTAGTTATAATCTTGATGGCAAGACCATAAAGATAAGATAACTCATGGTTGGCATGAGTTACCTTGTGGTTGGCAGTCAATGTATTAAATTTATTATTCTGGTAAACTTTACTATTTCTTTATTGTTAATTTATTTTATTGTATTAATTTATTTCTGTTAACAGAGTTAAAGTATAGATAAAATAAAAATGACATTATTTTCATTTTATTTATTTATTTCTATTTCTTTCTGAAAAAAAAACATAACTCTATTATAATTATCCTCCAGATTTCAAATGTTAGCTTAAAGCCATTTAACTTTTAGGAAAGGCCTACATTAATACCAGTTTTGCTTGCTATCCAAAATGGCATGAAGCAAAAAAGCAATTACCATTAATTTATTTGAGAAAAATATGTTTAGCATTTATAAGCCCTGCAAAGGCCTGCCTACCTGCCACGATGTCAAAGGTTAAAGTTCATCATCTGATGTGAAAGGCTTAAAATATGGCAGTATGCTTCACTGCTTTTTTGACATTTACTTTCCAGTAAATGTGCCCCAAGCCAATGTATTTTCAAAGTTGAAAACATATTTCTCTGTAAGTATCAATCCCATCAAAAATCTCAAAATTATTTCTAGGTTTGGGAATGCTAAAAATGTTTCCCATATAAATTAACTAGCTTAAAAGACGCCCTCTCAAGCAGCATTTAAGCTAGCTTCTGCAGAGGGCTCTTGATTAAGCTTTCATCACAGTAGTTAGGGAGAAGTAGATGCAATAGATAACAATAGACTACAGAAGAACTCAAAATTGATCGCTGTATTTAAATATTGCATTAATATTTAAGCTTACCTTTTAAAAGTTCACTGGTAATTCTTCTGCCACCACTTAATTTAAAGACAATTTGATGACTGTAGGTCCTTACTTTCTGTACAAACGATTATTTTTATTTTATGGGTAACTTTCACTGGATTTCGCAATTATTTTGATTATTCCCAAATTTATTTCCAAGTTATAAAAATTGTTATCGTAAGAAAATTGCCACAAAAAATCATGTAAAAAAATCGCCGATAAAAATCACAGTAATGAAAGCTTGGTAATTCAAAATTTCAGGATTGTGGGTCCAAATCCAACCCAGAGTGTTTTTAATTTGCTCATGAGGTTGGCCTGATTCCAAACTGGTATGATGGTCTCTAGGAGTAAAGTTGAAAGCACGAACAATTTTATTTTGTAACAGTAATTTGGGAACAGTAATTTTTTCATGAACTATGAAGATGATTGTTGTTTCACCAGGTATTTGCTGAGAAGGTACAAAAGTGTCAATGCCAGCTTTAATCCAAGAAGAAACCTCTGTAGCACATTTCTCAATAGGAAGGTTAAGAATATCCATTCAAAGGACATGAAGAAAGTAATAAAATGCATCCCAATCAGTAAAGGCTTCATAGGAAAGCTAAAATTCTGGAGAGACTGGAGAAACCAGAAGTATTTAAATTAATACTACAGGCTAACAAAACAGCCATGTTTAGATAAATGTGTTTATTGTTAAATTTTATTGCACTTACTAGCCAGGTTAAAACCATATTTCAGTATGAGTGTGTCTTTACACATAAGTGTATATATTTATTTGGTCTCAGATCTTTCATTTTATTTAATCTCCTACTTTTATTGAATGCACTAGCAGAATATAATTAAGGTTTAATAACAAAAATTCAAAACTGTTTTTGATGTCTCCATTTCATATCCCTCACATCATTACACATATTCCATTTGAGACTTGCACGTAAACACTTGCCTTAAAATTACAGAAAATATTTCACGACATTTGTGTTTTAGCTTCTACATTTTTTTTCTTTAAAGAAATTGTATTTTCATTTACTGTTTCCCTTGCACATAAACTTTATCTGTTTTTTCTGTTTTTCTCCAAAAAACCAATGCATCAGTCAACGAAAAACAGGGACACCTGCAAGTGCATTGTGGAGAAAGTTAATTATTTGGTTGACACGCTCATCATTTAAGTAAATCTAAAATTCAGTGTTTCCATTGTATAGCTTGGAGATAAAAATCAAGATATTTTGAATTTCCATTTTACTTCCGAAGTAATTAATTTCTCCATATGTCAGTATAGAATTATCACACTGTATTTGTGAAGGTTTGTCTGTCTATATATATATATATATATATATATATTTTTTTTTTAATGAATTACTTTCTATATTAAGCTTAATGTTTATGTCAGTGTGGTGGATCTCTTCAGATAAAAATCTGTTTTATGCACCAAAATACAGATGTTGTTGTATATATGCATAACATTTCTTTTATAATGTGATCAATTTGCACAAGTTTTAGATATATATGGGATCATGTGTGCCTCACACTAGCAGCAGTATTTAGCATTTGAGCCAGAGAAATGCCAAAATATCAAATGACATTTTATATTAAAGCAAGCATTCTATACAACATTGATACAACACACTCTTCCAATTTCCTGTACATCTTTATTTAGCTTTGTGCCAAAGTAAACTTAATGTTTGTGTGTATATATATATATATTTCAACAAATGACTGACAAGGTGATTAAGCTTTTTATTTAATTTTTCTTGTGTTTGTACAAGTGTTTTCTTTTGTGGACACTGTGTAAAAACTATTCAAAAGGTTTGTATATCCGAGTTCTTTCAGTTATTCTTTCAGCCATTACTAAGTACGATTTTTATTTTTTTAATTTTATATATGTTTTATTAATTTTTTTTTATGTATGTGTTTGAACTTAGTGGGATGTTTTATTTTCAAAACATGGACAGCACATTGTGGTCATGTTCGTAGTTAACATTAAGTGTTGGCTTTTCCTTTTTTATTATTAGGGCTTCTATTATTTTTAAATTATTTTTTTAGATTAAAAATAATGGAAGTACTGTCAGTCAGCTTTAATGAAATACATATAAAAGAGTGATTGCTGCCCAAATACAATATATCAGTTAAAAGGCATGTCAGGTTATATGACGGTTCCGTAAAGGATACAGGTTTGAATCCTGTCAGAGGACAAATATTTTCTATGAAAATTTCTCGGACATTCAGGCCAGTAAATGTTGTTTAATACTGTTTATTATAAACAGAGCATTTACTTAAATATTTGTATCTATAAAAAGAATATATAAACATAAAATGTCTTAAAATATATATATATATATATATATATATATATATATATAAAACGAGCACCACTTTGATCTAAAAATGCCACACTCATCAAAAGGAAAAGTAATTTACTCAGAAGGAAAATTCTCAAGAGTGCATCTATTGAATCATATCAAAATATAAATCTATGCTCTTGTTTTTTCCCAATCGCACCTTTCCTGAAAGAATTACTACTTTCCCAAGTTAACATGCACGACCACAAATATGCTGAAAAATCAAATGGAAAAGATTAAATCTATCACCTCATCTTTTTGAAGATGTACTGCACATACATCCATCCTATAGCAGTCTAATCACAATTTAAACAATATGAAAAAAAAATTATTGAATATTACTCACTTACATTTTGCCAGACTGAATTATGACACTTTGTGTCCTCCACATGTTTTGACTGACCTTTCAACCACCTGATAAACATTTATAAACGTTCTCAAATTTAAAAGCCTTGATAAACCAATGATATCCTTGCTTTTTGTATATAAATACATGCAACAAAATAAATCCTACATTGTCTTGATAAAATCCCTCTGAAGATGAAATGCATCAAATAAGAATATTTTTTCTTCTTGTCTCTTTTTATCCATATATATATATATATATATATATATATAAAACCAATCTGAAGTTATTATGAAAATCAAATAAATCTCAATAACTCAAAGTTCTGAACCAATATTTGTCAAATTTAAACTCACATATTTTCACCATTAGTAAAATATTTAACTAAATTTTGTGCCTTTTTTAATGGTTAACTTTTGAGATATTTGGAATTTATGAAAATGGACTGACTGAAGTTAATAAGCAGATTAAACTAATAATTGCTTAAGACATCTGAAATCTAATAAAAACTATTTTTTCTTTTTGTCCATAATATATTTTGAAACATGGGTAAAGAGAAGGATTTGACAACTGCTGAAAAATAGAAAATAACAAAGTTATTGAGTGAAGGAATATCCACATTGGAGATATCAAAAGAACTTTCTTGAGATCATCAAATGATGAAAAAGGCTGTTGAAAATATAAGCAAGTTGAGAAATTGAAGCAAAGGAAAAGGCTTTAAGGACTTGCTACCTCAAGATAAATGTAAATTAAAGCAAGTTATAGTAAAACAACCACTT